AAAAGGAAGTCCGAGTGCCACAGAAGCATTTGGATTGAAAACCTGTTGACGGATTTTTATTCATTCAGGGTATCGTATAAAGTGGTTTTCTACTTTCATACTTGATAATTTATTCCAGAATCTACAAATAATTCCAGGAAATCTATTATATGGCACACATTTTACCAAAACATCCTGGACACCCAGACTTAAATGTGTGTATTGAGTATTGCACATGCGGTTGACACATGTGGCGTAATGAACATATTTCAATATTTCAATAGGTAATTCATAATCGAAGAGATCCTAGTCTTGCTGAGGTATAAGTATGAATATCATTGATTTCAATTATTATGTTCGAAACAAAAACATGAAAAAAGTGTTAAAGTAGATCTATTATGTGTATAGCAGCTGTCTATCCGAATTTTCTCAATGTTTGAAGACCAGAGAATTAAAGTTTCACTCAACCATGCGCAACCCTACTCCCTAGCTAAAAATGAAACAACCCTGTTATCACATTTCTTTCGTTTAAATTTCAAAACACAGATAGTCCAGCTCTTTGTTATTTTGTATATGAAATAATTAAACTGAAAGCTTATGAACTGAAAATAGGAACCTAGCCCAATCAACAAGGAAACAGCTTAAACTCATAGTCTTACATAATAATAGAAAGCAGTAATTTATTTTATGCAAGATGATGCATTAAATTCCTCATTCTGAACCTAGACCAAATTAAAGGAAACATCATTTACTCAAAATCTTGCATAATCAGTCAAGAGTGTTACTTGAACTAGTAATATTTAAATGGGCCTGGACACAGATTTGAAGTAATATTTTCTAAAATTTTCTGTATAATATTATGACCTATATGTCAGGTGATGGAGAGTTGCAGATGTAAATATGCACTACATCATGCCTCAACAGGCTCATATGTATCATTAGCATGAATGACAATCCGTGGACAAGAAGTCCATGGTTACTACACTGCGCTAGGTTTGAGAAAATTTGACCTCATCATCTGAGAAATGCCAGAGAATATTTCTTTCACTCAGATCTCGAGATTGAAAAACCCAATGCACCGTAGAAATCAATTAAGCCGCAATTGTTGTGCATGGCAATCTTGCACACTGTAATTGAATGATCGGGGATGGGGGTGGGGGTGGGGGGTTAACAGATATATGTTACTTTCTAAAGTTAAAAGATAATCATTTAATACTTTTATCAAATCTCTGATGTTTTATAAATCGAGTTTTATCTTACTGTTTTCATTTTTGAAAATCATAAGATAAAAAATTCATATATATGTAGATTACTGCTTGTTGTGTTTCTTTTGCGTGTCAGTATATAATATTACCTGAGAAACTTTTGAAAACAGTGTTTCATTTATTAATCTATATATATGCTGCTGTTGGCTTTGGTGGATCACCATTGGTTCCAGCTGAGGCATCTGACAAATTTAACCTTTTTGCAATTGGTTGATGTTTCAGTGGATTTTTATATCGAAAAGCTGTTGGTCAGGAGATGGATGCACTAGACTAAGTTCAAAAGATAAATTAGCAGAAAAGTGGATGGCCCTCGTTTTTGTGACAAGTATTTGGATTAATAACCTATATAAATTTTATACTCTTATACATGTATGTCTTTTATAGAGAAAATGTCGAGAAAAAATGACAAATCTACAGCCCCAGCTGACAAACTGACTCGTATTGCAATTGTGAGCAATGACAAATGTAAGCCAAAAAGATGCAGGCAGGAGTGCAAAAAGTCATGTCCTGTTGTCAGAATGGGTAAGATCCATAAAACTACGGAGCGTACAATACTAAGTCATGTTGGTCAGATGTATACTTATTATACTTTTATTACATGTGTCTCTATCAATGTAACATTAAGTAAAGGTGAAGATCATTCCAAGAGGTTTTAGTTTCATAAATTTGATAGAATTTTATTGTAATTACCTAATTTTTGACAATTGAATACAAAAACATTATTGAGACATTGTGGACACACACTGTGTAAATCCCAGTTAGATAGAAGAATGGTTTTATGTCACTTTTTATCTTAGTAAAAGTATCTCTTTCTAATAATAATTTTTTTCTTTAGGAAAATTATGCATTGAGGTAACTCCTGCAGACAAAATTGCTTTCATTTCTGAGGAGCTCTGTATTGGATGTGGTATCTGTGCCAAGGTAAGATGTCCTCTGAAGAGAATTTTTATTTAATAAATTCTTATCATGAATATTTTTGATTGACCCCCAACATGCTTGATCAAAATTAAAAAGAAACATCCAAAGAACCTCAAATGCATCTTCAATAATTGGACAATTTTTCTGGAACAGGTTGAGAACCATTAAAAGTGTGTTTGTCGTAACAGTGTTTTTTTCTGTATATCTTCTGTAATTTTTTTATGCATTTAATTTAATTAACTTTAAGATATACTTCAAATCATTATACATGTATGTGAAATTTTGGACTGATCATTTGAAATTAAGGAGTATCTCCAAATATTTTTTTTTTTTTTTTAGAAATGTCCTTTTGAAGCTATATCCATCATCAACTTACCCAGTAATCTGGAAAAAGACACAACCCACCGATACAGTGCCAACTCCTTCAAACTTCACAGGTAAATCCTACCACTCAAGATAAAAACCATTTGTTTAAGTTCTCAATATGATTATGTAAGTGATAAAAAAGCATAAAAATGCACAATGCTTCTTATACCCCCTGCTTGAAAATAGGGAGGGGGGTATATAATAATAGGGGTGTTTGTCAGTACGTCCATCCATTACATCTTGCCATTATTCTCATATGGGAGAGGGGTGTCATTTTTGCCAGCTCAGTGCTCACAGTATCTTTAGTTTTCACATTAAGATTAATTTAGTTTATCATTTGGTTTATAATTATCATGGTTATAGACACTTTTACTCATTCATACACAATAATTTATCGTTTTTTTCTCCAGACTTCCAATTCCCAGACCAGGAGAGGTGCTGGGTTTGGTCGGCACCAATGGTATTGGAAAGTCCACTGCACTGAAAATTTTGGCAGGAAAACAGAAACCAAACTTAGGACGCTTCAATGTAAGAATTTGAAATGTGTACCATATAGATGTAAAAGGATTAATGCATGCCATACATATTCTTTCCTGTGTTCTTAAAAAAGAAGATACAGTACAAATTGGATGTTAGGAAAATGCTTCATTTTTTTACATAAATCAATATTATATATAGCTGTAAAATACAGGAAATTGATTATGAAGTCATAATGGATCAGTTTAGCCATGCACAGGGGCTGACAAATCCCATTGCCCGACGTCCGGGGCTAGTGAATTTTAAGGGTGGGCAAGTGGGATATCTATCAACCACTTGCCCATGGGCAAGTAACTTGAAAAAATAAAATCCATATGTAAGTCATAGATCTAAAGCTTTGTAGAGGGGTTTGTATGATCTACTCAGTATTTTTCTTCCATTTGTTTTGAAATATATATAAATATGATAGTAGTTTATGGTGGTACAAGCAAATATCCAGGTAGGACAAGTGAATTTTGATCCTGCACTTGCCCTTGGACAAGTTCCTAAAAAATTCATTTGTCAGTCCCTGCATGCAACAGTTCATTCTGTCACCAGGTAACAGTTTGACTGTTTAACAATAGGCAAAATCACTAAAATAAATCAGGAAACAGTTGGAAATGCCTAACTACAATTTATATAAAGATTAGGTAATCATAAAACTTGGTTACAAAGACCTTGCCAATAAGGAAATGTGTGTTTTAAGGAAACTTTTATGAATCCTCTAGAAGGCTTTGCACTATTTTCTTATATGGATATAAAGATCTTTGATATACATTTGTAAAGAAGCAAAATTCAGAGTCGCTTTGATTTAAGGATTCACTTTCTAATTTGTTGGGTATGCCAGGTCATTAACAATAATTGGAAACATGGGGTAATTTGCATAAAGGGTGAAGCCAATTTCAAACTACAGTAAATGGCATACTCCAAAAAAACTAAATTTACAATGATGTGGGAAATAAAAATGTAAATATGAATAAAAAAATGCTGTCTTGTAGAATTGAAATACTCGAGGTATTTCATGTTAATTTTCATAGTCCCTGCTCACTGACATCAGACACAATGACAGCCAAAAATTGACATGCATATTAGGCATCTGACCTTTCACTAGGTGAAATTTACATTCAGTTGTAAATATATTGAGAAATTAAGACACTTAACTTTCAAAGAAGTATCTCAACAAAAAAAAAACCCAGTTGGAAATGTAAAAGATTTGTACATGCGTTTCTGTATTGTTTGTTTACACCCATTTATCACATTGACAGGATCCTCCTGACTGGACAGAGATCCTGACCTACTTCCGAGGATCAGAACTGCAAAACTTCTTCACAAAAATCCTTGAGGATGATCTGAAGGCCATTATTAAGCCTCAGTATGTAGATCAGATCCCAAAGGCCGTCAAGGTACAGTGCCATTTCTTCTGACATCTATTTGTCTTTTTTTTTCCTAATTTGATTTTATTTTTGGTTGTTTTGTTACTTAATTAAATACATGTACAACATTTTTTTTTGTTTAATGAATGGTTTCCAAATGAGTTATTGAAAATGTCTTTCCTAACATGATACATATACTGGCTACTTGTATTAAATGTTTTAAATTTGTAAAGCTGCACTGATGATTACAATATTATATTGATAAATTTTGTCTTTCAATTTCCACTTCTTTGTAAATTTTAGAGAAGGGAAGAAAAAAAAATATTTCTCTCTCTCTTTTTTTTCAGGGATCTGTTCAGCAGTTACTGGACAAAAAGGATGACCTAGGAAATCAGACAGAAGTGTGTAAACAACTGGGTATGTTCAGGTTCATGAGAAAATTTTGAACTATGTTTTGTTTGTTTGTTTTGTTTTCGTTTTGAACAGGACATACTTATTCATAGAATTCCCACTACAAAGGGGGGAAAATCCATTTCAATTTTAAAATTTTTCTAGCCTTAAACATTGAACTTTTTTGTGTATACTTGTATTAGCTTTTTAGCTATTTATAATTTTCATTTCTGTCAAAATAAATCTTTCATTATATGTATTGACAGTGTAAAAAGAAAAAAAATTCTTCTTCGTAGATCTAGTAAATGTCAAAGACAGAAATGTGGAGGATCTATCAGGAGGGGAACTTCAGAGGTTTGCTTGTGCCATGGTGTGTATACAGAAGGCTGATATGTAAGTGTTCTGTTAAACAATTTAATTAATTATTGCCTGTAAATAGGGATGCATTGAACATGTTGTTATTTCCTTCTAAACTTTTTTGTTATTTCCTTCTAAACCTTTTTGTTGATAAGGAATGTAAAATAAAAAATTCCATCCATTTTCTCTTTCTGATTCACACACACACAAAAATGATAATTAGAAAATGATTCCATAAAATAATTTGATGCAAATCTTTAAATTGGCTGTAATTTTCATGATTTTATGAACTAAGAATTTCCTTTAATTTCTACTATAAATCCCTAGAATACATGTAGGTCAGTATTGTAATTTGCAAAGGGGAAACAAATTACACCAGACCTGAGGTAAAGTTTGATTTGTAAATACATTGTACATAATTGCAAATGAAAGATGATTACAGATGAAAATTTGTTTTCTTCAAGTTCATGGAGTTCAGCAATGTTTGATTTGAGCATACATTATAGTAAGAGTCTACTAAAGCCACTAAAGATATTTTAGGCAAAAAATATGCATACAAAATCTTATATCTTCATGATGTAGGGAATTTTCTTAGACTTCAAATTTCTCAAATACATGTACATGTAATGGACAGATCTTCCTCTATAGGTAATACAATGTATATTTATATTCCCTCTTCTGAATTTGGTGAAACATTTAATTTGTATATCCTAAACTGTATTGCTGGTGATGATATGATAAATTGCTGTTCACATTCATAAAAATTGTGTTGACAACAATCATAGCCACTGAAGCAAGTTCCTGTACATGTATAATCTGAAAGTAATTTGCAATTCCACTAGTACTTCTGTATGAATTCTAGAAGAATTCTGTTCAGAATGGTAAAAAATTTTAATAGTCAAAACTGAGAGAAAGCATTCTCCTTATTTATGCAGGGATTCTGGTATATGTATGAAGTGTATATGTAAGATATGAGTCTGATGACTTAAAATGTCAGCAAGCCACTCACTGTTGATCATCATAGATCATAAAGGCAGTTGACTACTTACGGTGTCATCAGAAATTAGTTGTTAGGGAAGATATTGATGAAACCAGTGACATACAGTGCATAGTCCAATAAAATTGGATGTTTTAATAGCAGGAGGTTGAGTAAAATAAATTTTACTACTCAAATAAATTTTATTAAGTTCTTTGTTTTTTCAGTTTCATGTTTGATGAGCCCTCAAGTTACCTGGACGTCAAACAGAGACTGAAGGCTGCCCTGGCTATCCGACAATTGATTCATCCAGACAAGTTCATCATTGTGGTAGAACATGACTTGTCTGTGTTGGATTATCTCTCAGACTTTATCTGTTGTCTCTATGGAGTTCCCGGGGCCTATGGGGTTGTTACTATGCCTTTCAGTGTCAGAGAAGGTGTGAATTCATGTAACATATGATGTATTATATTTTTCAAATAATAACTTACAAGAATCTTTTGGTCAGGAAGTCAGAATATATTTAAGTAAAGTAGCAGTTCATTTAAAACCATTCTGAAGAACTGAGGTATTGAATCATACTACACATAGTTTATGCTTAGCAGATTTTTAAAAATAATTTGGATCTTCAGGAGACATAATATATTATTAGGTTATTCAAATGATGGATATACATGTATTAAAAAAAAATATTTTTATTTATGTTCCACTTTGAAAAAAAATTGCCAATATATAAAAATGCAAAAAAAATTTCATTCTGTGTTCAGGAATCAACATTTTCTTGGATGGATTTGTCCCGACAGAAAATCTAAGGTTCAGAGAGTCGTCCTTGACATTCAAGGTCGCAGAAACAGCCTTGGAAGAAGAAATCAAGAGGATGTGTAGATATGAATATCCAGACATGATGAAAAAGATGGGTAGGTTACTCAGGCGAAAGTGGACCCAACTTTTAAAATTGACAAACATCTTGGGCTCTGCCAAGTTATTTCATTATGAGCATGTGTGCCATTTCAAGATTTAATTCCTAAAAACAGAAATGAAGTTCATATTCTACTCAGCAATTATTAGACAATATCTTCATTGTAATTTTTCTTAGTCTATGCAAGTACATTCTTTACTTGTAATACATTCAAATTTCTATTTATATACATGTTTGGAATATTTAAATTTTTTTACCAGGAATTTAAAACATAATAGTACATGTATATCAGTATCTTGAGTTTGTTACATGGTGTATGAGTTCTTATTTTAAAAGATAAATACAGTTTACTATTTACATGTTGGTTATTGCAGGAAGTTTTGAACTCAGGGTTGGTAGTGGACAGTTCACAGATTCAGAAATCATTGTGATGTTGGGTGAGAATGGAACAGGGAAGACGACATTTATCAGAATGCTGGCAGGAAAACTGACACCAGACGAAGGAGGTTTGTTATAGATAAATCAATTATATGGTTGACTATTTCAAATGCAAGTAGGGTGAATTTACCATGCATCGGACACCCTTGTATCTCAACAAGGTCTAGCGATATCATTATCGACTGAATACTATCAAAATAGAGCTTAACATATAGTGGTTGATTGCAATATGAATTTGAGACACAATTATGTGCTATTTATTGAGACAATATAACTAAAAACCGATTTTTTTCAAATGACTCGGAATTCACCATGGATCGGACAAACGGTATTTGAACTGAAAAAAATACCTACCTTTATCACGGGGCTTTAAAATTATTGATATGGAAATACTTTTATCTTTTATTTAAAAATTAACCTTCAACTTAAATTTAATAGACAATATCATTGCACAAATGTGGAGAGATTTTAGTTGCCTTACATTGCCTTAGAATGAGCTTTAAAATGTTAATTATATGTCAATTCGCACCTTTGTCTAGTGGGTTATTATACTCTGGTTTGTAGAAATAAATTGAGTCTAACTCTAGACGTCATATATCGATAACTTGTATTTTCACTGAAAGTTTAGAGTTTTTGTTTTCCATTTCCGCAAAAAACAGCTGTCAGTTGGGTTTAATATGAAAATGGAAATGATTACCCATGCATTGGAAAGTGTCCGATGCATGGTTAATTTGTTTACGATGTACAGTGAAATGAACATACTAGTAAAAATCACCTCTAAAAATAATTATATAAACATTGTTGTGAAATTTCTTTGAAAATCTGTAAATTTACCAACCATTGACAAATTTCACCTAAGTCCGAATCGTTCTGTTGAAGTCTAATTAAAAGAACGACAACTCTAAAAATTTGCAAAATTGTAAAATTCTGGTTACTCCCCTTTGATGATGTAAAATATGACATAACTTCAAGACCATTCTCGGGTTATTTCAATCACAACACGATAAAAAAAATTGGCATCAATAAAAAGTTTAAATCTTCAGCTTTAAGATAGAATCAAGTAAAAATGCGGGAATGTTCAGGTTTAAAGAAAGTTTATTGCTTAAAGTTGTCCGAAGCAAGGTATGTGTCCGATGCATGGTTAACTCACCCTAATTTCAAATCTCTCAGGAACCTGTATTTATGAATGATAAAAGGGTTACCAAATAGGGATTCTCTCAAATCATTGCTGTGCAAGTCTTTACCATTATTGAACTCAGGTGTTTGTAGAACATTTTCACTGTAACGAAAAAAGGATTTTGTTAACAAACAATGAGATGATAGAAGCTTACCATGTTTATCATGGAAAACACTGAACACTGAGATACATGTAAACTCCTAAAAATGACATTTCCAGTGTAGATTTTGCTCTCATGTGAAATGTACAGCATGCAACACTGTCTGACATTCTGTGTGACATGAATACAAGCATGTCACCTCCTACTTAGTCCACACTATTTATGAAACTTGAATAATGAAGGACAAGCAGAAAGCTGCAGAATATTTGTAGTGTAATTCATAGGTTTAACTTACAGAGCCTATTAATTTGTTAAAGCCTTTTCTTGAGTTTTAATTTTTGTTCACCATGTTTATTCTCCCCACAGGGCCATGCCCAATGTTAAATGTAAGCTACAAGCCACAGAAGATTAGCCCCAAGTCCCAGGGTACTGTGAGACAGCTACTGCATGAAAGAATCAGGGATGCTTATGTACACCCACAGTTTGTGACAGATGTCATGAAGCCTCTCATGATAGAAAACATCATTGACCAAGAGGTAAGTTTTATTAAATTGACAGATGATGTGGCCCAAACAGGTTATATTGTAGTTTGGATGTATCTACAAATAGGCAACATAATCATATTTTCATACATTGAAAAAAATGAGTGTTTGTTCTTCATATAATAGTTGATGTGTTGTGTCTGCAGGTTCAGAACTTGTCTGGAGGAGAGTTACAGAGAGTGGCCTTAGCTCTGTGTCTAGGAAAACCAGCAGACGTGTACCTGATTGATGAGCCATCTGCTTATCTGGATTCTGAACAGCGTCTGCATGCTGCAAAAGTCATCAAGAGGTCAATACAGTTTTTATGTTCTTTATGATAGGGTTTAAGTTTTCTTTATTAAATTCTGGTTGTCATTAGCAAGATTAATTTTGTAACTTGTAAAAGGAAAGTTTTACATTTACAATGAGATTACATTGTTAATGCCTATCAGTATTTTAATAGCTTGCCGAATTATTTTGGAAGAAACTAAATTTGAATTTTAGTATCTGCATTATTGTTGAGCAGAATACCTGAGGTATGCTGAAGTGAGTCAGCAGTTCTGACCTTATAATGCATTTGAGCTAAATCTCAAACTCTACAACATCTTGAAGAGTACACCATGTTCGAGATATTCCATTTCCTGGAAATCTTGAAAAATACTGCCATGATTGAAATATTTCAAAGTCTTGGCTTGCTGGAAGAGTACAGCCATGTTCAATGTTCAGAGGTTTTAATGTATACTGTAGTTGATAGATGGTTGACAATGACTGCGATATTTCAACCAAGAACTGCATAAGTTAGAAGTTTGTTCAAAGCCTTCGTCAGCAAAATATAATGAATGTACTTTTCACATGAATATTATCTACAATGTAATAGATACCCTTACTGCCTTGCAACGGAATTTTATGATACCTACTTAAATCATTGCGTTTTTCTGCCTGTATGCAAAGTTAAGCTGTCAGAGCATTTCACTTTCTGACTTGTTGAAAGGGTATCTATACCAAACTTGCTCTGCATTTGCGAATACTAACTGAAATGCATATTTTGAATGTGCCTTTGCAGGGGTATTAGTTCTGTTAGGACAACTCAGATTTAATCTATTATGTTCATTATTGATAAATTTTTTTCTTTCTCTTCAGATTTATTTTGCATGCCAAGAAGACTGCCTTTGTAGTGGAGCACGATTTCATCATGGCTACATACCTTGCCGACCGGGTTGTGGTCTTTGATGGATCTCCTTCTATCAGTACAAAGGCTAATAGGTAAAGCTCTTTTTCTATCAAATTTGAGTGAATAAATGATGGAGTTGCTTTGTACTTTGAGGATTTCATCGACTTGGTAAATTATAAATAAAGTTTTTCCTGAGCTGATATTCCTCTTTGAAGCAACTTTGAAAATTATTAAAATACTGCTAACTGCTAATGAGACTATCTTGTAGCACTTTCTGAAGGAAATACATGTATATATTCTTTAATTTCATATCCATTACAAATTGATTTTGAAATCTAATGTCTCACATTGAAGGATATAACAACCCTTGTGTTTTGAAATACATGTGCATGTACAAATTATGTATTTTTAAATGGGCTGATGATGAATTTCTTTCTGACACATTTTGAGTAGATATGTTAATGAATCTTGCATGCTAAAGATCATCCTTTACTGAGTACGATTATTGTTCTCAGCTTGAGGATGTGGGTAGTAATTTGCTTCATTATTGTTTTACAGTCCTCAGTCACTTTTGAATGGAATGAATAACTTCCTTGAATCCCTGGACATCACATTCAGACGAGATCCCAACAACTTCAGACCCCGAATCAACAAACTCAACTCTGTCAAGGTAACAGGGCAGTAGAAGAATGAATAAAGAAGATTGTTTTGAATCTGATTTTATTAATGTTGTTGATTTCTAAGCTGTAGGTTTTGGTGTAAGAGGATCTCTGCAAGTCAATTTCAAGGACATGCAGATTTCATTTTAACTTTATTAAATTAATGCTCTTTAAGAAGAGATTTTGTTAAGGAAAGTACAATTCAAGAGGAATTAGAAATTAAGTTCTTTTTTTTTTTCCAATGGTTAGACTTTTTTTAATCAATGGAGTTTGATCCTTATTTAACAAAAAGGCTGTTTGACATTGGTTAGAAACATGTATTTCTTTGCATATAGTATATGTAAAGTAAATCACATGGATTGAAGTGAGGGTTGAAATATGGGTATTGACATTAAGTCTGGTTTTCTTTTTGTAGGACACTGAACAGAAGAAGAGTGGTAACTTCTTTTTCTTGGAGGACTGAAACTAGGTCAGTACGACCCTGGAGCTCGTTAGCTTGGGCTCTCCGAGCTCTAACATTGTGTTCTGGTGCCTGGCTGTTATTCTACAAGAAAATGGTGGATGAGTTTGTTACACATACAAATTAAAAAAGAGATAATCTTGGAAAACCTTTCAAAACTTGATATTAAATTATGAATTGTATTTGCAATTGTCTGTAATTTTGCATTGTGCCCAAAGATGTTATTCATGATGAAGGTTATTTTGGTGTTGTTAAAAACTTTATAATGTAAAAATTAACAGTTATAGGTCTACATGTATATAATGGTTATGACAAATTCCTTATTAGAATATGCAGAATAAGAAAAAAGAAAAACAAGAGAGAACTTAATATTCTGCTCATTGACCAACTGATCAAAAAAAAAAAATGAAATTAAGATCTTGACCTTGAATACTGTACATGCGTCAACTTGATATATTTTGAGACAAGTAGATATACTTTTATAAATCCTTTTAGAAGTATACTGATGTAGACCAAGAGAGTATGGCCAGACACAATTTTATTTTTCAATATTATGGTTATTACAGACATTTTTGACAAAAAATGGTTAAAGGTTATATTTACTGCACACTGCTGGTGTGCTGATCTTTATGCATTGTGATAGAAATGTGACAATGACTTCTTTGTTTTTCTCAAATTTGAAATCTGAATATACCAAACTACTGTTACCTCAAAGAGTATCAAACAAAGTTTCCCCCAAGTGACGCTGTTTGCTTTCAGACTTTCTTAAATTGCCCCTTTTATTTCCAGTTTACATTGAAGGTGCAGTTGAATGTAAATTATTTTTAATTTTTGTTGAATTTATTGGTAGGTGCAATTGTGAAAAAAAACAACAACAAAGAATTTCATTTTGATATTTCAATAAATGATCTAAGCAAGTAAATTATGAAATTTACTTATAAATTTGGCTCAGAGTAATGTGATATGAAAGTTTGTTCGTCATGGGCTGGAATCATCAGTTTTGTACTAGGTTACTGAAATGGAAGAAATGGTTTCCATTTTACGAAGGATGGGCTCTGGACCTGTTCTTCTCTGAGTGGACAAATGTAACACTACAGCACATGGTTGAGGACAATCTTCATTATTATATGTGGTTGAGAGGGGTGTTGATCGTAGGAGGGGGAGGGGCTTTTTGTTATGGAACATGATAAAGATATCTTTAATTATAAAATTTTATCATATGATTGAATAATTCTTGCTCTGATTAGTTGAGATCCAATATTGTACCAATAAATTTATACGTTTAAAAAGCTATGACTAGCGCCTTGCGCCCCCCTTCCCAATAAAAAAGAGGACACTGCTCCAAACTCCCAATTTTTATTTGGGAGGATGTTAGTGTCCATTGGTTGGGGGGACCAGCTTTTCAATGAGCATTTTAAGACTAAATTAATAGTGAATAAAAATATGAAAATATGTTCAGAAAAAAGTGTGGGAGGCAGGCAGGCCCCCTCCTCCAATGTTGAGTTCACCAGAGTGGCAGTCGGGTGCAAGTGAAATAACTTTCCAGTACTTTTATCAAATTGAGGTTCTCGATCTATTTTTAGTCCAATATAGGGGAAATAAATACCTTTGTTCTCATGTTCTGAACATAACGTAGTATTTTTTCTACAATGTTGTATATCTCAGCCAATCAAAGATGAAGGAATTATTCAATCATATAATAAAAAGGTTAGCTCCTGCAAAAAATCTCGATTTGATATTTTTATTTGTATCTTTGGTCTGACAGCAGAATTTTCCGATTTTATCACATTGAGTTATAAATGATTTTACAATACTGGATGAAAAATGGTCATAATGATAGAGCGTTTATAATGTTTTAAATAATACAATTTTTTCATTCATACAATAGGCTGCATGTATGCCTAGAATCAGATTGTTTCTCCTTATAACATCCTTCACATTTCAAGACGCCACAAAAAAATGGGTCATTTATATATCAAGTATTTCCGTATTGTATGACTTGTCTCATCGTAAACTCTAAGCTTGCATATATTTATTTTGTTGTTGACTCATTGCCCTGCGACGTTCTTCTTCCCTGCACTTGAAACAATTAAAACAGAGACACGACGCCTCAGGGTCCGCATGATAGGCACACGGACAAAATTCACAGAAACACAGTAAGACCCTCAGTATCTCCAACATGCACAGGGTCATGTCAATAATAGCTACCACAGAAGTGACCACTCCATACCACTCCCGAAAATCCGCCACATAAAAAATGAACAAGGCGTGGACGAAGGTAGTTATTTTGAAAGATACAAAAATCAGTCTCCATATTTTAGGGTGGTAAGCATTTGCTATGGCCTCCCATTTCTTTCCGGCGATCACAGACAGTGTAATTAACAAAGCAAGAACAATGCCTACGTAACATAGAATGGGGATCTTATACGTGTCCGTCCATTCTGGGAGTCCGAGTTTGAGCCACAGGAATATAACTGCCCCTGCGTCTATTACATACCCGATCCAGACTCGAACAACGAATATAATCACCCACTTCTTTGGCTCCTCGCTGAGTTTTTTATCCACATATCTAGAAATAACACAATTAGCTAAGCATAGCACTATATCTCCGTTATTTCTACAACATTCCGACATTGCTGCTTACTCAGGTTTCGTTGTCTGTTTAAACCTACACACACTACATTCACCTAATGTAAATCATCTGACCAAGTCATTATTAGTAATATCAACTTCTTTCAAGAGGTCCTGATATACATGTAGGTCGAGTTCAAATGTTGAAAGTTTGCCTACGGACTGAACTTTTCTTTGTATTTTAGAAAATATACATGTGACCCCAGGTTACAATATGTAGTCAATATGAATTTATCAATTATGTCCTTTGTACATGTACTTTCACTTTTATTGACTTGTTCTGTACACAGTCTTGCTCGACTGTGGAACGTATTTACCTGATGTTTGCTTTTTACGTTTCCAAGGGCAGCGACAAATAACTGATTCCTTTAAAATTCAGTACCAGTGTACATGAAGTCTGTGTAGTATTCCAGAGAGTAAGAAAAAAATACTCGCGTATTCATAAGAAAGAAATTAATTACATGTATTCGTATAAAGTAGCCAAGTCTGCAGGAGTAATTTGGATGCACAAGAATGAATAATGATGTCAATGGAAAAAATAAAATAAATGAACATGTAAATTATAAACAAATTAATTATGATAATTAAATGAATGTTATAAATCTATAAAGCCCAGCTGTTTGCAAGCACACGTGGTAAATACTAGTATTCATGTATTGTGAAAATTTTTTATATTCTTGCAGATGGAATAATACACCAGTCTGGGCTCTGTCTAATATATGTAGTAATCAATTAGGTTTGATGACGATTACTTGTATATCATTATGCATGTAAATTAGAATGCAAAACAATTAGACATGTATCATTCAAAAAAAAAAATTATTCTCTATTTTCTTTTAAATTCTAATCATTTTTTTTTATCTATTTATGTTTTACTTATTTATTAATCTATATTTTTAATATTATTAGTTATACGTGTATAAATGTTTAAGACCACGGTGGAGATTCCTATTCTTACATAGTGCAATTACAAGCTGAAAAGGAGGTTACAGCTAGTAAAATTCGATCCTTACTTGATCTACTCACCATGAATTAACAACGCTAAATATACGAATATATGTGGGGTGAGTGGGTTAAAGATTCTATAACTTTTATTATATTAAGGAGCGCAATATAAAGCCGTTAAAAATAGTTCATTATACATAGGAGAGACAGGTTGCAAAGAACTTAACAATGAAAACTCTTGGGGGGGGGGGGGTATAGAATTTTGCTATAGTAAATGTTCCTTTAGATGTTGGTTGCCCCCCTTTTTTTTGATGTTGTAAGGCCGATCACTGGCAAATTCCAATTTGGACAGTAAATTAGCTTCTTTTTTTCTAGATTGCCAGATGTTTTGGGAAGTTGCCCCCCCCCCCCCCCAATGCACTTTTGAAACCGTTGCTACGGGCCCGCCTTTGCAATATTGGAGCATCCAATTCTTCCCGTATCAACGCGAAGTCTCGAACGCTGGATTGTAAAATTTCATTCATCCATATTTTCTGGATTTGTAAACCCCCGCCATTTAGTTGCAACTTTTTGAACAAAATAATATATATCATATATGTACAATGAAGTATATGTACATAATTACTGTATATAGGCTTCTGCCAGAAAAAGAAGTTTGATAGAGTGCTACTGAAGCTTTTAGAATGAAAGTCTGTTAGGGAAAAAAACTTCTTCAGTTCAGCGTTCCATCTTCTTTGGAAGGGCGGGGGAAGGGTGGGGGTGGGGTGGGGGTCTAAAGTGAAGCCTTGTCTTCGATGTTTCGTAGAATTATTTCTATGTTTAAAACGTGTTACTTTAATTGATCAATTTAATTAATCATTTAACATGGAGTTGTTTAGCTTCTCCCGACTATTTAGAACATCCATTTGCATTAACATTCTAAATTTAAATGATATAATTCAAATTTTAATAATTTATTCAATTATAATTTTTAGTACATATATTTATAATTTATAAAATACTGTATGGTATATATGCACTGTTTAACAAGCTACAAAAAGGCTGTAATCAAGTAATTATTACATACTCAGTATCTAGTTATGAACAAAACAACAATCTGTAAACAACGCAGTTTATTGGCTAGGCTATTAAATATCACATGACTTTAAACCGGTATTTATTATTTTGCTTTATGAACATGTGTGTTCTATAATACGGCATGCATATATATTCAGATTAATTTTTTAAATCAATTTCCAGTGTTTGCAAATCAATCTAGATATTACTACAGCAATAGGCATAATATAATGAACGTATTCACCATCATCTAGACCATCATCAAAAATCATTTATCTTAGTTCTTCTCAATACCGACATCAAAAATTAGCACCATGATTAGCTGCAGAAATTTTATATCTTCATCATCAATATTTCAATATACATGCATAAGTCACTGCCTCATCCTTTGAACGGTGCTTGAAAAGAATTTTCTGAATCGAGCAAATAATCCAGTCCTCTCTGCAGCTTTTTCTTTCTTTCTCTGATAAAAAAAGAAGCTAGCTCATTAGGTGTATTACTATACTTTCGCTTCATATAATATATTGCAAGTCAAAATGGCTTAAACATGTATTTTCAAAAGCTTAGTTTTATAAAAAAAAAAAATCTCTCGACGTATAAAACCGAACGACACTTTGATACTGTGCTTTTTATAAAGATATAGATGTGTTACCCTACCAAATTATGAATTTTTTTTTAGTTTCTACATATTATGGCAAGATTCATATTCTGATACATCTTGGAACTCGCGAGATCTGAATTTTTGCGAGATTTAGTTGCTTACATGTGTTCTGTTTCTGTAGAAGCAGGGGAAACACAGGTACATAGCACCTGTAAGTGACTCTACACTGTCTTCCTGGTCCATCTCACAGCTTAACGAACACGCTTCATTGTCCTTTGTCATCTGCAAAATACAATGCAGACATTTTAAACATATTAAGCAATTTGATACACGTGTATGGAAAAAGAGAGGCTACAAAATTGAAGAAGAAGAAAACATGTTCTTACATTTTCTGCAAGCCTAGAGGGGATTTTTTCTTCGCGCTCCTCATTCTACGATAAAAATAAAATAAGAAGTGTATTTGAATTTTACTAGGAATTAAAGGCTTAAATGAAGAAAAAAGAGGTGAAATAAAGGTATGTTAAATATTCTCATACAAGGACCTTATAGATGTACACAAATAAGAAAATTGCTGGGTAATCATATATTTATAAGAATTAAATGAGTTCCTTCTCAACAGAACCTAGTGACCAAAAATAAATAAATAAATAAAAACGGCAGTATTAAATCGTCTAGCTTTTAG